TATATAAAATATGAAACACAAATATAGTTACCATAGTTGAAAAAACAAATATTGAAAGTAAAGATGACAACTTCTTATATTATACTCGTGATTAATAAAAAATTGTAAATGAATAACATTTTACTATGGATTATAAATAGTTTGACTTGTTTATGAACAATTCAAACTCAACACTCAGTTGCTAAATCCAAACTGAGCTCGAGTAAAATCAAATTTGACTCGATACAGCTTGTCAACACAAGAAATATAAATATAAATTTATTTTTAATAATATATCAAATTTCATTAATATATTTTATTTCTCTATTTATGTAAGTTTACATATTTTGTTAATGAAATTTATTATTAATATAAGTATTATTCTATATTTAACTCATAATTTTTGTTTTTCTTTCTTATATGCAAATTAATTTAAATTTGAGTTTTCTTTTGAGCTCGAGTTTTTGTCATATTTGATGAATCTAACTCGATTTCATTTTTTGAGCTCAAACTTGAACTCAACTAAATCTTAGTAAATGGAGCTTGAGGCTTCGTTTGGCATAAAAAATCTGAATTAAAATAATTATAAAAAGACAAAATAGGTTAAAAAAACTAATAAGACAAAATATCACATCCAAACCATAATCACTTTATTTTTTTTCTCTTACAAAATTCAAAAAAGCCAAAAAGCCTATCACAAACGAGACTTTTTAGCCCCAGACTAAAATAATCAAAAAGTCAAAAAAACAATCCATATCCCAAACAAAGGTTGAATATTTCAAAGGGCAAACTTCATTTTACCCCCCTATGGTTTGGGCCATTTGCGGATTACCCTTTTGACGTTCGAATATCACCACATAACCCCCTGTGGTTAATGGAGTGATGTGCACAGTTAATACCGTTAACATCAGAAGTAAAAAGACTATTTTTCCCTTGTATATATAATTTTGTTTAACATTTCTCATTCAACAAGTGGACAAGAGAGAGAGAGAGAGAGAAGAATCAATGGGGACGTTAGAATCAATGGCGAAAGAGATGTTATGATTTTGATTTTGTTCTATTTCTCTTCATTTTTTTATCATTTCTCACCAAATCACTCAATTAATTATATTCATCAAATAAAGAAATCATAGAATTCAGACCAAAACCCCAAACCCCAAATGAGCAATTCAATTTTATTTCAAAACCTAAACTGCAATCATGCTTCATGAACAGCAACAGTTTTCAAAGAAGAAGAAGAAAACGATGAAGAAGACGATGGTGAAAAAGAACAGTTATCCCAAACAAGGAAGAGTTTAATCTCTGATACTCGTCTCACCACTCTCTGAAACTCAATCCAAGCATTGAACATCTTGTAAATTTTATATTGTAAAAGAACTCCTGGGTATGTTTAGATCTTGTATTGTAAAGGAACTCAATCCAAGGAACTCTTGTAGATCTTTCTCTTCTCTTCATATATATATATATATGAAGATCAAAATCATCACATTTCTTTAAGAAAAGTGTGTGTGCGCGCGCGTGTGTGTGTTTTTTTTTTTTGAGGTGGGTTTGTGAGCATCATCCTCAACGAAGCACAATAGCTACAGGTTATATATATACACATATATATATATATATATATATATATCAAATAAGATTATATATATATATATATATAGCTACAAATTATATACATATAAGGGCTTGTTTGGGAAGATATGTTGGGGCTAAAATAGCCATATAAGACAAAATAGGCTATTTTAGCCCAATAAGACAAAACATCACATCCAATCCATAATCATTATATTTTTCTCTCACAAAAAATCTAAAAAAGCCAAAAAGCCCTTCCTAAACGAGATTTTTTAGCCCTAGGCTAAAATAGTCAAAAGACCAAAAAGCTAACCCACTTCCCAAACGAACCCTAACTACAGTTTTATTCTTGTACCATATTCCCAACATATATATACATTAATGATGAGGGTAGGTTTTGGAAATTGATGATGAAGATACGGGCATTTTAGTCATTCAATTCGGAGGAAAAATCATATTTTCATACCCATTTGCATATTAAGCGCGTGTCATGCATGGCCTGTTAGAATAGATGGAAAAGCTAACTGTGCACATCACTCCATTAACCACATGAGGGTTACATGGTAATATTTGAACATCAGAGGGGTAATCTGCACATGGCCACCACAAGGGATAAAGTGAAGTTTGTCCTATTTCAAAACTCAGCTCAGTTAGAGTCATTTGCTTCATCTACACCCAATTTGGATATCAGAATAAGAGAAAACATATTATATTTTTTCATTATCATATTTGGATAGAAAAGAAAAGAAAATATGTGATATAGAAATATGAGTATGATTTTTCTTCTTTCTTTGTCTTTTAATAGACAATTTTGATATTATTAAAAAAAAAAATTGTGATATATCAATTTATTTCTCATCAAATTCCAATATATATATATATATATATATATTTTGGTGAGAAATGAAACATATTAAGTAGAAGGTTGTTATTAACACCTATTTTTTTTCTTTAGACTCTCCATTTTTTTGAACCCTCATCCTAAACCTTAAATTTTAGCACCCCATTTAATATCAATTTTACCCCATTTAATAAGATTTGTTTTAACACCCCATTTAATATCAATTTTACCCCTATTTATAATATCATCACATCCAAGTGCATACTAACCTATTTTTGCACACCCTCTCTTCTTCTTCTCTCAGTAAATCCTGTTGAAGAACGACGACAATCTTTCTCCTGTTAAAGAATGATAACGATCCTTCTCTTTCTCTTTGATTTATTCGAAGCCACTGTTAGTGAACGATGTTGTCTTGGGTAACCTCTTAGTCGACTCGTCAAAAATCTCTTCGACTTGTTGGAAATCTCTTCTCAAGTAACCAACTTCCCATCACATTTTCTTTTTTTTCTTTTTTTTGTTTATTTTGGGGTAAAACCCTCAATACAGGGAGTTTTTAAGCAAAAAACCCTTAGAAAAAACACAACTAGGAGAAAAATCCTACAAAATTGAACTGTTTGGCATACAAGTGCTAATCGAATACAATACTATTCGGAACTCATGTTCCAAATTAAATATTTATGTTTAGCATTGTGTTACTAAAAAAAACCTTAACAGTTAGCGAACCAATGCCGATCAAGCTCAAACAAAACAACAAAATCGAAAATGACCAAGAATCGTTAATGTAAAATAGATAAACTTATCAATGCAAAGTCATTCTCATTAGAATTGTTGTCGTCATTTTCTATTGCTCTATAAGGATCAACGAATGGTAAAATCTTAAACTAATATGTGGTATGAATAGTGCAACGATTTGAAATGACATGAACGTGTAATATTGAATGACTCGAATGATGAAAAGGAATACGTTTAGGGTGGTGATGAAGAGGAATACATTTAGGGTTTAGGTTGGTGATGAAGATGGACTTCAGCCACTGTCAAATGGTTTAGTGGGGTTGAAGGTGTGTGTACAATATTGTAGTGTGTCATTTTAACGGTCTTTATTTGGTGGGTAGATGTTTTTATTAAAGATTATCCTTTAATGCAATTTTACTTCAAGGTATAATTGTAATAAAAAAAAAGGTGAGAATTGGGAGGGTTTAAAGAAATAAGGTATGTATTAATAGCAACCCTTATTAAATAATAGGTCGAATTTTTCTCACGTTCACATCTTAACATACGAAAATTTGAGGGGTTTGTGAGGCCCACCACAGGTCCCATTTCACTGATCTAAACTATTCATTTTTATAGGGCATGAAATAGATTAAGTCGATCTGATAATCATAACATTTTTATTTTATCGTGTTTGTTTTTAAAAAAATATATGATTTACTTTTAAAAATATATTTGTTGTTTATTTTTTCGGAAATAAATGCAATAAAATAAAAATGTTACATTTTTTGAATTAAACTATATTTTTTTATTTTTTATAAATGATATATATTGAAAGCCTTACAAAATGAACGGTTAAAATTATCAAAACGAAATCTATAGGAGGCCTAATGAGCCTCCAAATTCTCTTATATTGAAATGTGAAAATGAAAGAAACCCGTGAGTAATAGATATATATATTTTTTTTTGGGTCACAATTTCGCATTATTTTTTTACTAATATTTACTTAAGCTAATTTGAGAAAAAGCTTATAAGCAATCTTATTGACTTATTTTGGTCATATCATCCTTTTACTTTTTGTATCTTTTGTTATAATAAGTCAAAAAATAAGCTTATAAGCCACTTCTCAAGTGAGACCTACTGTCAAAAAATTAGCTTATAAGAGCGTCACTAACGCTTCATCTTTTGTTTCATCAAATTTAAATTTGATAAAAAATTTACAAAATTGGTACTCTGATATTGATATCAAATCAATATCAAACTAAGGATATCTTAAATTTTTTATTAAATTGAGAATGCTAGAACCTTTCACCAAATTAATATAGATAGCTGTTAGTTTTATAGGTGATGTATGAGTACTGAACAACTGGCTGGATGTCCGATCGATTGTCCCTCGATCGATCAGCAAAATTGTCTATAACTGAAATAGAAATTTACATTAACTAGCTAACTGGCCGAACATCTCCCGATTATCCTCTTGATTAAGTAGTGATTTGATAAATTCTTAGATTACTTTGTTAAAACACGTGACATTAGATAAAATTTTTATAAAATTAAATATAAAAAAAAAACTAAGAACTTGGTTTGGGGCTAAAATAGCCACAAAAAACAAAATAGGCTATTTTAGCCACAAAAAACAAAACATCAAATCCAACCCATAATCATTACAATCTTCTCTCACAAAAAAAGCCAAAAAAGCCAAAAAGTCAAAAAGCCCTTCCCAAACCAGGCTAAAATAGCCCAGGCTAAAATAGCTAAAAAGCCAAAAAGCCAAAAAACCAACCCACTTCCCAAACGGAGGCTAAACATTGAAGATGCTCTAATCGACCTAATTTATAAATCAAACATTTTATCCAAACGGAGCGCTAGTCTTTGTTCCCTAAAATTTACTCGAGAGAATGACTACTTGTTTGGTGGGACACCTTCGTATCTTTGACAGGGAAGTCAGTCTGCTCTTCTCTGTTCTGTTGTGACAGAGCCTCTCTCTCTCTCTCTTCTCTTCCTTTTTTGCCTTTCTCTCTCCCTTCTCTTTCTGTCTTTCATCGGTCCCTCTTAGCGCGTTTGTATTTTTGATTACTTTCTTGCTTTCACTCCTTTTTGTAATTTAAAGACAAAGCGTTTGTGTCTCTTTTGGTTATCCAAGTCCAAAAGGGTGCTCTCAGTCTCTTTCACACTTCGAAATTCTAAAACCCTTGGATGATTTAGGGTTTCACTCCTCTCATACTTCATTTTTGTTTTTGTTCTTTTTTCTTTTCTTTTCTTTTCCCAATTTCGTCCCAGCCTCTGCCAAGAATTAGCCATTAGAGTGGCTAATCAGTAATTTCCTTCTTTATATCTGGTCCTTTTAGCTCACTCTGGTTGTGGTTGTGGTTGTGAAGTGTTTTGATAAATCAAAAGTTGTGAAATTTTGTTAGCAATGCCCGTCTGGGTTTTGTTTGTTTGTGTTTTTTGTTTTGTAAAAAATTAAAACAAAAATGTTTTGTTTCTGGGTTTTGGTGATAAGGGTTTTGTTTTAAAAATGGTGTTGGTTCAAGAATCTAACAGAGCAGCTTTGGACAGAGATGAATTTGTTAGTCTTGAAATTATAGACATTTTCCATCTTTATGTTTGATCCTTTGAGCTCACTCTGATTGTGGTTGAGAAGTTTTTTGATAAATCAAAGGTGGTGAAATTCTGGGCAATGCCCGTCTGGGTTTTGTTTTTTGTGGTCTGGTAAAAAATGACAACAAAAATGTTTTGTGATTTGTGTTGTTTTTCCATTTGGGGTCGTGGGTTTTGATGATAAGGGTTTTGTTTTCTTTGGGTTTCTTTAAAAATGGCATGGATTCAAGAAAACTGACAGAGCTGCTTTGGAGAGAGATTAATTGTAATTTGTGGGTCTTGAAATTCTAGACATTTTCTATTCTGTTTTTTGTGCTTTTGGAGATGGGTATTTTGATTTTACTCTGATAAAATCAGATTTTGTGAATCTTGTGTTGTTTCTGCTTCTGGGATTCTGGGGTTTTGAGCATTAGGTCTGGGTTTTTTTTTGCTGTTGGAGGGGTGGATTAACATGGAGGTTGTTGAAGAAGCCAACAAATCAGCTGTTGAGAGCTGCCATAGAGTTCTTACTCTCTTATGTCACTCTCAAGATCAGGTTCAGAACAAAACCCTAATGGTAGAAGCTGTATTCAAGTTCAAGAGAGTTGTCTCTCTTCTGAGTGGTAGTCTTGGTCATGGAAGAGTGAGAAAATTGAAGAAATTTAAACCATCTTTGCCTCAAAACATTTTCCTAGAAAGTCCAAACCACCAAACAAATTTCCCAAAGCCCCTCCAACTACTACCAACTAGTTTCCCTGAAAACCCGATTCCTGAAACTGATTCAAAACCTGGAAATTCTCTCCAATTTTCTCAGAAAATTTTTCTTGAAAAGCAAAATTTTCTAACAAGGCCTTCACAGCGCCATCAGTTCCTTCAACAACAGATGATGCAAAGACTGCATCTTCATCAGCAGCAACAGATGAAATTTCATGCTGACATGGCTTATGCTAGGTCTAACAACAGTGGCATAAACATAAAATTCGATGGCTGTAGTTCCGCACAAACCATGTCGTCCAACAGATCATTCATATCATCCCTAAGCATGGACGGTAGTGCGGCTAGTTTAAATGGGAATTCATTCCATTTGATTGGCGTGCCACAAACGTCTGATCAGACGTCGCAACAATCCAGGAAGAGGTGCAGTTGCAGGGGGGAAGATGGGACTGTGACGAAATGTGTGAGCAGTGGTAAATGTCATTGCTCAAAGAGGAGGTCAGTGTTGAATCCTCTGATTTGGTGTACTCGATTAGATGAGTCTTGTTAGTCTTAGTTTCGAGTTGATTTTGTGTTTGGTTACTAGGAAACTGAGGGTGAAGAGATCTATTAAGGTGCCTGCCATCAGTAACAAAGTTGCAGATATTCCTCCTGATGAGTACTCATGGAGGAAGTATGGGCAGAAGCCTATCAAAGGTTCACCACATCCTAGGTATATCTAATTTGAAACTAAAGACTGTTTGAACATACTCGAATTGTTAGTCCCAGTTTGAGCTTCATGTCCAATTCATATCTGTTCCATTATAGTTGCTTTGTATAGTTTGACGTAAGCCCTTCATATTATACTAAAAAAGGGCAATCCAGTGCATGATGCTTGCTCTAAAATAAGGTCTAGGAGCACAAGCCTTGCGGTGGGCCAAGTATACGAGCATGTCTAATTTTCAGTAGTTGTTGAACTTGGCTAAACATTGGATTTATGATTAAATTACCTGTTACCTCTACACAAGTCATTCCTATTCAGTATCATCTACTAGTTGAATCGAACCTTAGTTTGCTTGAATCATGTCCCACAACTCCTAGGAGGTGGGCAGTTTTATATTATCTAAGAAAAATTCTAAGCATACAGATTTTTTATACGGAATCCTCATAACATATGATATGACCATGGAAATTTTAAGGTTGTTTGAAAATTTGAACATTTTCTATATTTAAAAATGTTAACAAATCTTATGCTACATAAGGTTTGAAATTGATGTTATGAGCAAAGTTCAAAACCCTGCTAAGGGGGTTATTTGGTGCATTTTCTTGCAAGTTAAGAGCTGATAATAAAAAAACAAAAGCTAAAAGCATCTCTTTCAGAGCTTCCCAGGAATCAGTTTTTTTCAACTTATGTAAGCTACTTTTGTCTTATAATCTGCAAGCAGAAGTTATACCAAATACTTTGGCACAGATTCTCAAAATAAAAAATAAGAATAGACGTTTTAAGCAGGATGCACCAAATGGGACCTAAACAATCATCATTTTCCTAAAAGGAGTTAATCACACAAAAATGCTACAAGGGTGTTGTCCAGACAGCTCCATTTATACTCTAGGTAATGTGAATTGGAGGTGGCTTCTTCTTTATTTGATTTTCTTAACGATGTTGTATTTGTAGTTTATCTTTCTTAGTTTTCATTTTTATCAAATCAAGATGCTTGCAGGTTTGCTTCTTTGCTGATAATACGAAATTTAAGTTACATTTTAAACCTGTCCAATCTGATTATGAAGCTCGTATGCAGGGGGTACTATAAATGTAGCAGCGTGAGAGGTTGCCCGGCGAGGAAACATGTTGAGAGATGCTTGGACGATCCTTCAATGCTTATTGTCACATATGAAGGTGAGCATAACCATTCTAGGTTAGTACTGTCACAATCTGCCCATACGTAAAGGCTTTGTTGAAATCTGTATTGCATGTGACTAAGAGATTCCGACTTGAACTGTTCTAAAACAATTAAACATGGTTGATGTTCAGTAGTGAATTAGTCCTGTATATAGTATAGGCTTCTCGGGTGGATTTGAGCCATAGTCGGATAGAGTTTTAAGGTTTATATAGACAGTGGTTGAAAATTGTAAAATTTTCTCATCCCTGAAACCTAAGTTTATGTCTTGTTTGTTGTTGTTTTCAGCTATTAATGTAACATCATTAGCATGACTTTTGACATATTCATCTTATTATGGATTTTGGCTATCAAGTTTAATCTTTAAGATGTTGAAACTTGAATTTAGTTGTTGAATATCGTGTGATTTTAGGAGTTCATCCTTCAATATAATGTTTTCAGTTTTCTTTGAACATCTAGTACTATGATGTACTTAGTGGCGAAGCCAAGTGTAACATATCCCTACCCAAATCCATTTTTCCATTGGTTTGATTAATTTTATGTAATGAAATTAGGATTTCATAAAAAATTTAGATTATTGTATATACTAGATTGAAAAGTTGTCCTCCCATGCCTAAATTCGTTAGGTCTGTGGAGCTTGATTAGTATTTGTATATTTTATCACAGTCGTGAATTCAACTTGGGGTGTTGTGAGTAATTTGTTGATATAAACCTTAACGTAAAAATATTATTGTCTACATAAACAATCGTATCGTACTATTTGCTTCTTTCAATATAATGAAACTAATGTGAGCCGTAAAAATAAATATTTTGCTGATTTATGTAAATTTGTGTGTTGTGTTATTTGTGATTAATTCTTCTCAAGCCATTTCCATGGATGAGTATAGCAATGAATATTCTGGAAGTGGGATGGAATTCATATTGTACCACTAGTTGTTGCCTCTGCCAAGTGGAGGGAGAGGAGACCATGGAGGGATTGTTTGGAAAGTCTAGTAGTCCTTCCACAAGAAAATGTCATGAAATTTTAATATACCAATTAAAGATGTGATTTTGGGGTTGAAGCAATTGGATTCCACCTACTTGGCTAGCTTGTCACATCTTGTCTTACTTTGGTCATCTTGAGCATAAAAACAAGGGATTGAGAAATGACATCATCACACCACACAATGATGTAATCATGTGGTTTTGGATTTCATATTCAAAAGTCACTCCCAATAGTTGGATTTAGGGTTGTTTTGGGAAGTTGGTAAAAAGCTGACTTTTAGCTTTTTACCAAGCTTTTTGGCTTTTTTGAAAGTGATTTGGGAAGTTGGTAAAAAGCTGGCTTTTTGCTTTTTAGTTTAATATTTATTTATGGTGTCAAATCAAATTAAAATGACCAAAATACCCTTACCCAACATAAGAGAGTTATTTTTTTTTTTATTTTTCATAGGTCCTAATTTGTAATTTTAGAGCTGCGTTTTTAGCACTTGCCAAATGGCTTTTTTGGCGTTTTTGGCAGTCACGTTTTTTGACATTTTGTCCAAAAACGTGGCTTTTTACCATGTTCCCAAAATGGCACTTAGATTAGGAAAAAATTGGGTAAATTACACAAATCAGGTTAGTTTTTACAAAATATTGAGAGATTAATTGGGGGAAAAATGAGGTTATTTTTTGCCAAGTGAAGTGATTTTTATGATCTTACTTATCATATCATATAATATAATTGACTCAAGCTCATGATCGAACTTGAATCTGATATCATTTATTAGATTGACTTCTGCTATTTTTTCTAAAATCAATTGGTGTTGGAGAATGTTTTACTTATATTTTTTTTAGAACAACACAGTATACACAATAATAACCATACTCATATAAATTTATGTATATATATATATATTATATTTTGGATATGATACCCAAAAATTACTATTGTTTGTACTGTAGTTGGAACATGTGTTCATCCGCGGGGGGCATTTATTAACTGATCAACTGTACTTATGATATGGCTAGCAGTATGGTAGTTTTTGAGGAAGACTAGATTCATGAAAAATTACCAAAATAGTAAATTTGAGTTGAATTCAAATTTTAAGTAATTCCACTGCTATTTTTTATTTTTCACTAGTTAAAATATAAAAAGGTATCCTCTTTATTTTACCTAACCATTATTTTATAGGGAAAATTACACCACAGTTGTGTTAGCAAAAGTTAATTACAAATAAATGTAAACATTATAAATATTAATAATTAAAATTATAAATTTTACCATGAATTTGTAATAAATGTTTATTGCCACCACTGACCAGTGATTTTTCCTATTTTATAAATGTATTCTAATGCTACCTTTTGTTTTACTTATCTATAAGTCTTCCCAAAAAAAAAGTCAAAATTGGAGTCTTCTAGATCAATTAATCAACAAAACAAAATTTTTCTAAAAAAGGGAAAAATCATAAAATTGATGCCTTAGAGCATCTCCAACTCATTAGGTATATAATGTTTGTTAGTCAAAATGTCTAATATAACTCATTTTTTACAACTCCAATGCACTAGGCATATGATTAGGCATTTTAGCTCAACTCACATTCACTAGCTACATGTAGCTAGCCTTCAAGGCTAGGCAAAATGTATTTAATCATTGGGATCATTTCCCACCATCTTTGTTGCTGATGTGACATTTTATAAAATTAATAATATTTAGATGAATAGCTAAAATAAAGAGCATGATTGGAGTAAAAATATGAAATAGTTGATAGGTAAAATAAAATATATACTTTATAGTAATGTTTAGATATGTAAAATGCCTATTACCGTTAGAGATGCTCTTAAACAATAGAATTTGTCTTAAAATTTGGCATATGTCGCAGTGAGTTTTGTTCCTTGGGTCGGCTTGTTTCCCTTTACCCTATCAAATTTGAGACAATTCCGAACTTATTTGATAAAATGACAATTTTACCCCTGACTTCACTTGTGGTCCGGCTTTAACTCTTGTTGCTCCCAAGAATCTAAAAACACCTCAGCTGCATGTTGTGCATCAAAACACCTCCATTTTTTGGATTGTAGCTATTTCCCATTATTGTATGTATTATTTATTGTTTGACTGAAAGGCAAGTAGAAAGAACCTAAGCAAAATAAAGTAGCAATTCTTGATTGATTAATGCCAAAGGACATATATTCTTCACCCTCAAATATCAATTTGGTGCTAGAATATTTTTCCAATTTTCAAGTGTTACACATTCCTTTGTTCAAGTTGTGATGGGTTTGTTGTTTATGAGAGAGTGGATGATTGCTTTGGTCATTTTCATCCACAGTTGGTTGTTTGATCCAATTCCAAAGTTAAGAATCATTAATCAATCTTGAGCCATAAGTGTGTGGGGTAAAAATTCGACTGACACATGCTAATGGAGAGATTTACAGAGAGATGAGCAGCATTGTTTTGGATCTACAAAAAAAGAATATTGTTAGTGGTATCTGACTTGTGGATGTAAGTTAGCGGCACTCCGTAATTATGATTTTATTTGAGAAGTTAGTTATTTTAGTTGGTTATTTTGGTAATTTTAATCTGGTTAAAAAAAGTTATGTTTGGAAAGTTGGTTAACTTTTTTTTTTTTCTTCTTGTACTTGATTTGATGGTTGTAAGAAAAAAAAGTGAGATGATTTGTCTTATTTATTATTTTACTTATTTTATTTTTTAATGAATTATTTTAGTCCAACTCTCCTTCCAAACAGGACCATGTCAATGATGGTGTTTAAGAGAGATGAGGTATACCGCTTTTTTTCAAGAGTTGTTTTCCTTTATAGTGGTAGATGTCTTACCCTGTTTTGATTATTTGGTGGGATTCTCGATTGGGAAAAGCCTATTATACCAGCTTAGTTGGATTAGACCCAAGACTATTCTCGTATGTGAATTTTCCTCCCACGCCATCTATTTTTTGGATCAAGAATGACAGCTTGGTTTGGTGATGTTAGATATGACAATGATTTCTCTTCAATCTGGGTTTGGGTTGAAGAGTCCAATCTGAACTCTCAAATTATATCTAAGGAATTAATTGTCACAATTGTCCAAACAATTGCCTCATCAAGAATTGCCATTGTAAATGCTGTGATTATAATTTATCTTCATTTTGACCTAGTGGTGGCCATGGCACTTGTAGTCCAACCTAGCCCGATATTTTTAAAGTTTGGTATAAATATTTGATCCATGAAATTGGGAGATACTATTTGTATTCAAAATATGTCTCAGTACATCTGATTTAAATTAATAAATTTTAATTTCTATGAGATCCTAATATAAATTTACTAATAAGGACAATACATATTAAACCCTAAAATAATATTTTTTTTTCACACCCTAATCAGTTATTCTTATTCAAATCTTTATATGTTTTTTCCCAAGAGAACAAAGTTATTTTTTATTTTTTATTTTTTCTTCTTCTTCTTCCTCCTTCCAATACTTCAATCCACCCTACTAAAACTCACCATCATCATCAACATCATTATTTTTTATTATTTTGAAACCCTAAATCTTAGAAGAAAGTTTGAACAAAATCAAATAGTGGATGAGAGTAATAATTAAAATAATTTTTTGAAGCAACCCATTAAAAATGAGATAAGTATTCATATAAAAGGGTTTTACAATTTTTGTAAAGCAACCATCAAGTATTTTCTATATAAGTTTTTGACAAAAATTAAAGAGCCTAGTAATTATATTAACAATAACATATTATTGGAGTTGTTCTTATTTTGTCATTTAAATAGTACATTATTTGATAACTACTCTTTCTTGTTAGTGCATGATGCTTATGTATTTATAAGTTTGTTTTTACTTTTCTACGAGTATTCTTGTGGATAATTTATAATGTAATTTTTTTTGTATTGAAAAGTTTTATAATGCTTATATAAAAGTTTGATTTTTTTTTCTTCTGTATTTTAAATACTTATGCGCTTATAAGGTTTTTTTTTTTTTGAAAATTATTTTTTGTATTGAAAAGTTTTTGAAATAATTTAGTTTTTTTAGTTTATTTATTGTTTATTATTTATTATTTGGGTTTACCTTGAGGGTTATTTAGAAAAAATAATAGGGTGTAACGAAAGTAAAATAAAATTTTAAATAATTAACTAAAGTATACTTAAAAATTGAGAGTACTTAATAATTTTTTGGGTGTAAATAGAATTTCCAAATTTTGAACTTATTTAATTTTTTAAGCCCATTAATGACCTAGCCACATTTGAGCCACAGAATTTGAGCCCTCTACCATTGCTCTTAAAAATGTGTTGGACTAATTGGTGCAAGTATTTTGTTTTGGGATTAATTAGATTTTGAACTTGTTACATGGGACTTATCAGTAAGTTCCCCCTGATTTAATAACTTTCT